GTCGTAGTCGTCGTCGTCGTCATCGGTCGTCGTCGTCGTCACCGTCGCCGCCGCCGCCGTCGTTGTCGACGTCGTCGTCGTCGTCGGTCGCCGACGTCGTCGTCGCCGTGGGCGGCAATCGTTCGTCGTCGTCGTCGTCGTCGTCGTCATCGGCCGTCCGTCGTCTCGCCGTCGTCGCCGTCGTCCGCCGTCGTCGTCGTCGTCGTCGTCGTCGTCGGCGGCGGCGTCGTCGTCGTCATCGCCGTCGTCGTCGTTGGCGGCCGCCGTCGTCATCATTGTCGTCGGCGTCAACGTCGTCGTCGTCGTGGGCGGCCGTCGTCGTCGTCGGCGTCGTCGTCGCCATCGTCGTCGTCGTCGTGGCGTGGGCGGCCGTCGTAGTCGTAGTCGTCGTCGTCGTCATCGGTCGTCGTCGTCACCGTCGCCGCCGCCGCCGTCGTTGTCGACGTCGTTTTCGTCGTCGTCGACCGTGGTCGCCGACGTCGTCGTCGCCGTGGGCGGCAATCGTCGTCGTCTTCGTCGTCGTCGTCGTCATCGGCCGTCGTCGTCATCGGCCGTCGTCCGTCGTCGTCCGCCGTCGTCGTCGTCGTCGTCGACGGCAGTCGTCGTCGTCGTCGGCGGCGTCGTCGTCGTCATCGCCGTCGTCGACGACTTCGTCGTCGTTGGCGGCCGCCGTCGTTGTCGACGTCGTCGGCGTCAACGTCGTCGTCGTCGTGGGCGGCCGTTGACGTCGTCGGCGTCGTCGTCGCCATCGTCGTCGTCGTCGTGGGCGTGGGCGGCCGTCGTAGTCGTAGTCGTCGGCAGTCGTCATCGGCGTCGTCGTCGTCGTCACCGTCGCCGCCGCCGTCGTTGTCGACATCGTCGTCGTCTTCGTCGTCGACCGTCGTCGCCGACGTCGTCGTCGTCGTGGGCGGCAATCGTCGTCGTCTTCGTCGTCGTCGTCTTCGTCGTCATCGGCCGTCGTCGTCATCGGCCATCGTCCGCCGTCGTCCACCGTCGTCGTCGTCGTCGTCGGCAGTCGTCGTCGTCGTCGGCGGCGTCGTCGTCGTCATCGCCGTCGTCGACGACTTCGTCGTCGTTGGCGGCCGCCGTCGTTGTCGACGTCGTCGGCGTCAACGTCGTCGTCGTCGTGGGCGGCCGTTGACGTCGTCGGCGTCGTCGTCGCCATCGTCGTCGTCGTGGGCGTGGGCGGCCGTCGTAGTCGTAGTCGTCGT